AGAATGAACTTTTAATGTCCTTACAAAATGAAAACTCTAATATGAAATTTCGAACAAAAACCAAAATTAACATGTCAGGAATACATAGGAAAATCGGTGTGGGTATCTCAAGTTAGTGATGTTACTGTGATGCTCCTATATGATTGCGCGCAGCTGTGCTAGGCCCTTAAAACTTAGGATGCATACCTTCAGTTAGTAGCCACCACTTGTATGTGCGCAAAACTGGTCACCGAGCGGTCATTTATTTTCTCGCCAATACCACTCACTAAAGCATGGCTTCTCACCCCTAACATCTCACATATACATGCAATTTTTGGTCATTCCCTCATCAACAATTGGACTTAATTACATTCAGCATGCTTCATTTTATTTCATTTTTAAAAAGCTTCACTTTAATGCGAATAAATCTAGGCACCGCGAAAAAATTATTGAAAAAAACCCCGTCTATGTAGTTAACAACATTTTGTGATATGCATTTGAGCGGACGCCTAATCAAGGAGATACCTAGGTTCGTGGTGTAGAAGCGAGAACTTTCTAGACATGGCGGTAGTGCTCAGTGTAGACCAATGACATAAAAAAAAAGGAAGGGCTAAAGCTTTGCTAAGTGCTTGCAAGAACTACTGAGGCATTGGGGATGTAGTTCGAGTGGTAGCAAATGCCAACAGCAACCAGTGATTCCCTGGTATATGACAGTACCAATTTATCATCGAGACATGAACGAAATGCAGAGCGATTGGTAATCTTCGACCTGTCAGATTATGACTGCTGTTAATCAAAGTATCAGAATATAAGTATAGCAGATTTTAGAAATGTCAGTAGGGAAGTAATTTCGACCACAACCACTGAATAAATGCTAATAAAATGCATTCGGAACACACACATACATACACACATATCCACATACACACAGACAAACATACGCACAGACAAGGACTCGATAATACACGTTTTGTGCAGTTATTACAGCACAAAACGCATAAAAATGTGTATAAAGAAAAGGAAGTACCATTTCAGAAGCGATAGTCTGTCGGCGAAAGGAAGTTCGATGAAGCCGGGTACTGTTTTCGCCCACTGCAGCATCAGCAACAGCTCCGTATGAGTGACGCTAGCGATATCGTTTGGCATAATCATAAGTCTGTCTCGGACCTTTTTATTAAAAATCGTAATCCTAGTCACAAATAATTCCCTCAGCAACGAGTGATTATTTGTGTTTCAGTGATGTACCCAAAGACTGGGAAACAGGGGCGGAAGAGGGGAGGGTTAAATGCGCGAAAACGGCACCCTGTTCCCTCTGCAAAGATATGGTACTGATTTGCGTTTCACACTAAATTTGCGCTTTCAAAGATTGATTTAATACCAGTAGCTAGAACGTATGCCTTCTGAGGTTAAACCTCATTAAGGTGGAAATTGTGGTAAAATTTTGTGCTCTCCCGCCTAATTTGGCATCTTTCTGTCTGGATTTTTGGCCTTCCTCCCATCGTCTCTGGCCGACTGTGGTACTCTTCCCTCTTTAGACCAAAGAGAGCAAATGTCCCCTAAGTCTAGGTACACCACTGCTAGCTTTAAAACTTCCAAACAAATCTATTACAATTTTTGGCAAAAACTGGAAAATAAAAAAAGTTCTGTATTTTCTATATATAAATAAATCCAGGAAAAATTGATTGAAATATTAAAAAAACAAAATTCCGAGATGGTTCAAAATTACGCACCAACTGATTGCTATGTTTGAGCATTTCGGCTAACTTTTTCGCTTCATTTTTTGCTCGCATCAAATGAAATTTCCGCTCTCGGATCTCCTTATCAATTGACGTAAGCTTCGAAATAAGCCTTGTCAATTCTTGGTCAACCGGTGGCAGTTTTTGTGCTCGAACTGGTGAATCCAGGGAAGCAGCCGAGCTCTTCTCGCTCGAACGCCGATACCTTCGACAACCGATTAGATCACGACGTGGTTGTAGAGCTGCAAAAACGCAACGTGTATCTGGTTCCAGAAAATCGGTGAAGTAACATCCTGGTCTGGAAGTAGCGACGTTCTAGTCCAGGTGCTGGTACTCAACATACACCAGAAACCCCTTAAAAAGGCTAAAGCCTTGCCAAAGTGCTTCTGTCAGCGAATCGTTGAGTTAGTAATCTTTTCAGCAAAAAAAATTGGCCAACGCACGAGCTGCCCGTGCGAAGATGCGTTTTTTGCAGAGTTCCCCGCAGT